GTGAGACATCTGGCCAGCTAATCAGTGTTAGTAAGAATACCTTTATCATGGACCACCACGTTGCAGACCATTGGGCTCACCAGATTCACGAGCGTACTGGATTTGCTCGTGGAGACTTACCCATCCCTTACCTTGGGGCCCCCTTGTACAAAGGCCATCTTTCCCATGAGCTTTTTATTGACGTCCGTCAGAGGATGATTGACCGAATTTCTGACTGGTCACATAGACACCTATCCTTCGGAGGCTGACTTGCTCTGATTAAGAGCACTCTTTGTGCCCTTCCTCTTCACTTTCTCGCAGTTCTTGACCCCCACCAGTCTACGATTCATGAGTTAGATCAGATCTTAGCCCGCTATTTTTGGAGCTATGGCGAGGGCTCGCGAGGTCGGCGGTATACCCACTGGGTGAAGTGGGACTCCATCTGTCTTCCCCACTCTGAGGGTGGGCTCAGGATTCGGCATTTCTCTCATATGGTTACTGCGTTTTCCTACAGGATGTGGTGGCGCCTTAGGGAGAACAAGTCCCTTTGGGCCCAATACCTCCTGAGGAAATATTGCCCTGGTGGTGCTGCTCATCCCTGCAGGGTGACAGCCACCGCTCGGGATAGTCGAAAGTGGAGACGACTCACCATGGTTGGCAGGCGTGCTCAGGAGCACATTTTTTGGACCTTGGGTTCTAGGGAGGTTAGCTTCTGGGATGAGTGGTGGTTCGGCGAGGCCCCTCTCTCGAGTACTAGGCCAGTCACTCACTTCATGCAGGTGAAGGACCTTTGGACGGGAGGGTTTTGGAATAGAGATAAGATGGAGGATATTCTTGGTGAGGATGGGGGTTTTAGTAGTCTAGAGATTGACCAGATCCGACAGATTCTCATTCTGGAGGGAGGTTTGGATGGCATGAGGTGGAGATTTACATCTTCAGGTGCATTCTCTACGTCATCAGCCTGGGGAGAAGTGAGGCTGGGAAACCGGCCAAACCGCCTCTTCGGGGCCATATGGACCGACCTTCTCACCCCGACCATTTCCGTCTTTTTGTGGCGCCTCCTATTACGGCGCATTCCCATTGACACTGTGATGCAGGCTAGAGGGTTCTCCTTCCCCTCCCCCTGCCATTGTTGTGCTGAGACCGGTACCTTTGAGATCGAGACTTTCACCCATCTTTTCCTTGAGAGTGAGACTGTGAGGAGAGTGTGGGAGCACTATGCCAGATATACTCATATACCCCTACCCACTACAGATAGTTTTTTTGAGTTCGAGTTTTTTCTCACACCGCACACACAGTAGACACGTGGGCTTCCTTATTCCTTGTCTGATCCTATGGGCCACCTGGACAGAAAGGAATAATGCGAAACATAGGGATATTATATTTTCTTGGGCTCACATTATTTTGCAGGTTGACAGACACCTCTCTCTCCTTACCGCCCTGGGTAGACTCACGACGAGAGACTGGACAGGTGTACACCGCCCCATCGTTTGAGGCCACCACCTCCTTTACTTGTCCAGCATCCACGACCTAGGACCGTTGTTTGGCTGAAACCCAAGGCCCCTTGGGTTAAGCTAAACACTGATGGCGCTTTCGACAGACATACGGAGCTGCTGGAGGAGGGGGCCTGATTAGGGATCATGGTGGGGCACTCATCTCTGCCTTCAATGGGCCACTCCGGGCCTCCTCGAGTTATGATGCAGAGATTCAGGCGCTCCAGATTGGTCTCGAGATTGCCGCCTCGATCTCCTCTCATGTTTGGATAGAGATGGATGTTGCGGCTGTCATCACACTTTTGACATCTGGCCACCAGGGCTCATGGCAGATTCAGCATCCTCTTATGCGTATCAGAGACACCCTCCGCTCGATCCATTACCAGGTCTCACACATATTCCGGGAGAGGAATCGGCGAACTGATTTCCTTGCTAGCACGGGGGCATCTATACCCCAGAGACGCACCCTTCTTCCTGAGAACATTCCCCTCCGGCTTCGGACGCTCATTCGGATGGACCAGTTAGAGTACCTATCCTTCAGATTCGGTCGACCGCCACCACCTGCCCCTGACTAGACTTGATATTTTGGACTCCATGCCAGGTCACTCTGACCAGGACGACCTTTTATGAGGATTTAATTTTAGATCCACAGCGCATATTTTTGTGATCCTTGTATTTTTTATTTTTTATTTTTTCTGCTTTTGATGTTGCTCTATGTATTTCCGACTTGTATGTAGACCATTGAATTTTTAGCCTTAGTTGGGTCATTATATTCACAGATCGGGGGTGTAGCCTCAACCTCCATCCCAATCTGGGATGTTTATATATATATGTATATATATATATATAAAAAAAAAAAA